CACTAGCCGGCTTTTAAAAATGGCGGAGCCGGCTTTATGCTAATGAAGCCCGGGAAATTCAAATCCCGGGCTTCATTAGCAAGTTGGGTATGTCTACACTACCCCGCTAGTTCGAACTAGCGGGGTAGTGTAGACATACCCCCAGTTCCTGATCAGAATTACTGGGCTGGGCTTTGAGGAGAGCCGGAGAGGAACTATAGTGAGGAATCAACATCCTTACTCCCTGCCCTCCAACCTGGCTGTGGGGCAGTAACTGAGCTATTTTATGGGACTGCACCCTCCTTAGTGTTGTGTGATGATCGAATTATATAATTGTAAAACAACTAGAGAAGCATCTGTCTATGTACAATTACATGTCTCCCTCCCTCTCTCCTTTGTGCTTGCATTTGTCTTCTAGTACAAAGAGGCATAATCATGATTGGACCTCTGGGTGCTACCATAATATAAACATTTCCTTTATGCATTTCTGAGTTTAACTCACTATAGAATAAACATTTTCAAAGGTACTTGATCCAGAGGGAACAGTTCACCCTTTCTAGTGGGAGGTGAGGGGAACTGCGGGGTGTCATTAAAACAGTTGCTTGGGGATTGTACTATTCTCTCTTAAAAGATTGATCTGTCCCTGTATTGTCACAGGTTTTCTCTTTTATTACCACATACATGGGCGAGCCATGCTGGATTTTCATGTTCATCAGTTACTTTTAGTGGCTATCTTTGGAGCAGCTTTTTGCATATTTCTGGAAGCCTTCTTCCGTGGCAGCATTGTACTTGAGATGCTCCGGACGAGTCTCTGCATTCTGCAAGGTAGCTGGCTCTGGCAGGTGAGTTAACATTTCCAGCTGTTATGTTTCCCTCCTTTTGTCTAGAATACTTGCTTTGTCCCTTTGCTGCTTCTCCATAGGCATGCTAGTACTTCAGACACGACCTACTGTGCACTTATCATTGCTTTGTTATGCACAGATCTCAAAGCACCCATTAATAACTACTAATCCTTTTTTCCCTGCAAGGATATAGACGTGCTTAGTAAACATTTTATAGATGGGGAAGCAATTATACCAGTATATTTGTTTTCCCAAGGCCAGTTACTGACTCAATTATTGAACTAAGAATAAATTTTAGGAGTTCAAATTTGGCCCTTTGCTGTAATCACTAAACATTCCCAACCCTGCAAAATACTGTATGAATTGTGTAAACCAGCGGTTCTCAAACTTTTTGGGCTCCGGAGCCCTTTACATGTGTGAAAATGTATGCGGAGCCCCAGCGGTTCACTGATTGTATGTGTTGTACTGATCCATGTTTCTAGTTTGTCAACCTCACGGAGCCCCTGGAGATGTCTCGCGGAGTCCTGGGGCTCCGCAGAGCACAGTTTAAGAAACACTGGTGTAAACCAACAGTTAGCAGAGGTACAAAAAGATAATTTTTTTTACAGATAAAGCTAGGCCACTATTCAGAAAATCTGTAGAAAAATTAGTAAGTAGATGCTCCTTGAAGCACACTCAAGATAGAAGATGGAGGAAAGGCCCATCTGTAAAGAGGAAAGAAAGGGAGAATCATGTGCTGGATTCATCTCTCTGTTTCCTAAAACCCATCTCTACTGATCACTCTAAATCCTGATTCATTTCTTATAAGCACAGTTTCAAAACGTTGGAAGTGGAACAGGTAAAACAAGTTCTCCAAACATTAATACTTCAGCAATGTGGGTACTAGTCTTAGTCACTAGAATTAGCTCTTAAAAGTCTAATAAACATTCCTATCACTATTTTGTCATCCTAAATATATACTGGTTAGTATTCAGTAGCCATACACGAATTAATTTGCTATTCTCAGGGCAGTGTACTCAGAGAGAAATGGTGGCACATACACATTGCATAAATCAGTGTTGTCTTATAACAGAAATAGGAATACTAGCAGTCCTATGTGGAGAACTGTGGTCACTATAGTAACTTTTCTTTCCGTTATGTCTAGACTGGCTTCCTTAAAAAAAACATGTTGGTTAGACATGATGAATGACAATGTGTGGGGTTCTTTTGAAGAACTGGACATTTATTACCAAATCAAATATTTAAACACTTGAACTAGCAAATAAAAAAAAAAACCTCTTAAATGGCAAAATTTTCCATAACTGAGCTCAAGAAAAATATGGTGTCTGAGAACTTAAATGCTGTATTTTGTTGTTTGGGGAGTTTTTACACTTGACTATCAAGATTTACAACAGAATAATTAGATATAGTCATTTAGCTTTCCTTGTCTAATTATCATTAAGACAGGTAACTGATTAGCTCTGGAGGGTGTTTGGTCTCCGAGTAAAACCCAAGTAATTAAATAGAAAATAAAAGCATTCTCAGATGCAAAGGTGGCATTTTTCACAGTGGTATGACAGACTTCAACTCTATATGTGATTGAATACCACACATTGGCTGCTGAACTGCATATTAGTAAAAGATGAATGAACTTTCCTTTTCTATCACAAATGTCCTGATTTATCAGTTTCTCTGCATGTGAAGCAAAATACATTTAATCCACCTCCAGTGTTCTCAGCCAGACAGCTAAGAACTGAGGTGAGAGGAGACTAGGTAGCTGAAGGAACTAGTGCTGTTCTAGTGAAACCCTTGTCAACAGTAACAGTTGCTACCATCTGTTGTCTGTTTGATGGCTTATGTGAAAATAGTTTGATCAGTCTGTTACAATGAGGGGCAACCTAGGCTAGTGAGTGGGCTGCATAGGTGGCCATCGTTTATCTCAGTGGGCCACAAGATTGTCATAACCAAAATGGTCTCCCAGGATAAGGTAGTTTTGCTAACTGTGCTTGTGGGGAATGCCGCTTGAACTGTAGCAGCACTTTGACTAGATGCAGAGGGAGCGACAGCTCTCACAATCAGTGTTATGTGGAATCAGCATGCACCTCACTTCACGTGCCCTTACTTTAAGTGTGTGTGTGTCACTTTTGTAATACTGGTAGGAAAAGAAAATGACAGGAGCAAAAACCAGCAGAATCTGGCACCTTGGTGCATGGGCAAGAGTAAACAAAATTTCTCATGGTGTCACACATAGAACCCCAATGGGCTGCAGGTTGCCCACCACTGATCTAGTAGAGGCTGGAAAAGTGTCCATGTCTTAAAAAAAACAAGTCACCATCATAATAGGCACTAGCTTGGAGCCTTAGATAAGTATGTTAATTTTTGTACTAATTTGGAAAGAAATCTCACTGACAGTCTGTAGAATACGTACAAGTTTCAGAGGGGTAGTCTGTTTCAACAAAAAGAATGAGGAGTCCTGTGGCATCTTAAAGATTTTTTTGGGCTTAAGCTTTTGTGGGCTGGAACTCACTTCCTTAGCTGCATGAAGTGGAAACATGGTAAGATTTCTTTGTCTTTCAGCATTGCAATACAATTTTAGAAATAATCTAATTTAATTATGACTCTGTAAAATTGTTTTGTTATAGTGTTCTTAGATGCCATCTTCAGTACAATTAAGGAAACATTCAGCAAATGATTGCCTTGTGCCCTGTGCCTCATATGTAATGCATGGTATGGCACAGAACAAATGTCTAATGAATGTAATTAAATATATTTAATGTATTTACAGATTGGCTTTGTACTTTACCCTCCAAATGGAAGACTGGAATGGAACCAAATGGATCACAATAATATGATGTTCTTGACAATGTGCTATTGCTGGCATTATGCCTTTGCTTTTCTTATTCTTGCTGTGAATTACGCTATTGTCAGCTGGTAAGTTAATTACAGAACTAAAACTTTGGAGCACCGTGTGTCAGTCGCACCACGAGTGTAAGGCTTTAAACTCATGGGATCACGTTTTTTTTCCCCCTTCTTACAAGATAAAATATAAATAAGCTTTGCTCATTCATTACCATTACATAACTGACCATTCTAGTGAAAGGGAAAATAAGTACTTTGTGAGCAAAATGGTATTTCACCCTTATTACCTGGCATCTTATATAAATTGAGCTATTTCTGACATTGTCTAGAATTGCATTCCAAAAATTAGAACTAGAAAATTTCTTCTAGATCAGTTGCTCTCAAACTTTCCAGACTAATATACCCAGGCCCGCTGACAGCAGCAGGCAAAGGGGGCAATTACCTCCAGGCCTGGTGATTCAAAGAGGCCCAGGGCTCCCAGCCGCTGCTACTGTGGTGGCTGCCAGAGTCCTAGGCCCTTTAAATCACCATTAGAGCGCCATGCGGTATAGGTGGCTCTAAGGGCTGGGGGGGGGGGGGGGG